ACTACGTAAAGCCTAGTGTATACTTGCGCGGCGTGGCTTACGTTAGCGGTTGCGGTGGACCTATGTAAGCACAATGGATGTTATACTGGCACGTTCCCCTTACGGAGTTTTGAGGAGAATGTTGTAATCCCACAACAAACCACATGAGGGCGATCACACAGGAGCGGTCCCATTTACGCTGCTACTTTGTCCTCTTCAGAACAACAATAACAAACAAAGCTGTTTGAGCTCATTACACGTGTTTCTACTGTAGGTTTATGTGATAGTTTTATGGATTCATTATTTTATAAGTCATTTCAACTGTGATGCTGTGAATAAAGACACAGTTATGTTGGAAACATAGTTATTATTAAATAGTTTTCAGCACAAACAGCAAAACAATAATAGTGGTAAATATCTGAGACAAACATGAACGATTTACGAGTGTATATATGTTAGATATAAGTTATATATATGTTAGATACAAGTTATATATATGTTAGATACAAGTTATATATACGTTAGATACAAGTTATATATACGTTAGATATAAGTTATATATACGTTAGATATAAGTTATATATACGTTAGATATAAGTTATATATACGTTAGATATAAGTTATATATATGTTAGATATAAGTTATATATATGTTAGATATAAGTTATATATATGTTATATATACGTTATATATATGTTAGATAGTCCACTGTCTCCTGTATATCAGGCTCTGAGCCCAAACTGCTTTTCCTTCGAAGCACAAAGCTCTCTGCTCCATAGTGCCTCGTCCATGCTCCTGCTGCAGCCGCTCCGTGCTTCCTTCCAATACACACACACGGACCAATCACAGCGGAGCTTCCTTGCGGCGACCTTTACGTAGTTAGAAAATGTCGATGCTGCGCGGCAGGCGACGTAAGGGCCTTGCGGTGACCAACGCGTTGCGCAAGTGACGTCACGTCACCTCCGTAAGCTCCGCGCCGCGCGAGTATAAACTAGGCTTATGGCGCCAGATTTACGCCAAAAGTCCACACGCGCAATTAAAACATACACGCGCAGCTTTATGTAATTCACACGCGCGTAAACTACTCTCCACGAGCATATTTCACACCACACGTGCGCAGACTCAGTACAAGCCACAATACGCACGTGTGTGCGCTCGTGACCTGCCCTCTCCCTTCTCGTGGTCTGTGTTCTGCGTTGAACACTTTTGCCATCTCTTCTACGCGCGTGAAATACTTTTGTCGCTTGGGGGCGGGGCCAGTGAAAGGTAAACAGCCCACTGCAGCTTGGGGGCGGGGCCAGTGAAAGGTAAACAGCCCACTGCAGCTTGGGGGCGGGGCCAGTGAAAGGTAAACAGCCCACTGCAGCTTGGAGATGGAAAGCATATGATTAATCCATAGACTGTATATCTTTTTTCTAACCCTAACTGGGCTATTGTAGTCTTTAACGTAGCATGTACACTGTTGTGGACACCCTATAGACTTACACCAGGACGTGTTTAGTTCGTAAATGTTTAATATTCTCTCCTAATAACGTCATCAGCCTATGTTGCCGCAAGGCTAGCCAGGTACATCCCGGGACCTTTGTCATCGCTGTACGTTGTTTACACTGAATGCTTTGTCAGGATCATGTCAGGACCGTTATCAAAGTTTAATAAAACTGTCTCTGAGTTATTTGTTTGCTTTTTATTTGCATAATTATAGCGGTTTGACCTAATGAGTCTATGCTAACTAGCAATAAATCTGTCAGTCCATAAACCCATGTTTGATGATGTAAAACATCATTTGGTCAGACTTCGTTTGCAGTCGAAGAGCCACAGCTCTGGAACATTTTACCTGCTGAACTGAAATCTCTAATATTTTTATGCCTTAGCGACTGCCAATTATCTGTTTTCTATACGGCCTATGAACATGGCATTGGTTACCTGTAACAATACTTTTTGTTCTGTGCCTGTCAAATAAACATATAATAATAATTCTAAACTATTCTCACAGAACAGTGGGTTGTAGATAGGAGAAAATGGCCATCAGTTACCTGGCCTAATATCTATAATTACCTCACTCAGGCCCCCAGTGTCTATACAAAAGAGAACCTAAATCATATAAATCTATAGATGCAGACAATTATGTGTTATGTAAAGAATGTGAAATACTTACCCTGAACTGTTCTTGTATGGCAGGGTATGGACTTGTAACGGGTGTGGGCACCGTTGTAACTTGTTTGTATTGTTCAATTACAGTCTTGACCTGGTGCACACCCGTTAACCCCTTTATTAGTGTAATCTGCGTTGTGTTCCATGTTCTGCGCTGTCTGAAGAAGGACCATGACACAAGGACGATCACTGGATGACTTTTACTAGTAGCTCTGCACAAAATAAAAGAAAACACAAATACACATCACGTCTCTCCATGCATTCAGCTCAGCAGTCCTCTCCACAGATGCAAGGCACAGACTATGGTTCTCCTGATAAAGGAAAAAAGCAACATTAGCTTAGTTATTGCCTTTTTAGTGGTATACAGGTTGATCACTTTTGTTCTCCAGTTGTTGTAATCAAGGAAAAACACCACACACTTTGTGGTTTTAGAGCTGAATACTTTAGCACTAAAGTATTTATGTGCTTTTGTTGTGACTAGAAGGCTACACAGGCTAAATCATGAACAGCTGTTTCTCCTCAGACTAAAACGAAGGAGCCTCCTTAGCTAACTTAGCAAAACAGCTAAAATGCTAACTGCCGGTTAGCATTTTAGCTGTTTGAGCTTGCTTTAACTTGACTGAACTAACTTGAACTACATCTAGTGACATCATGTAACCTAGTGATTACTTATGGATTGGACTTTTTGATTATTAGATAATGTAGGACACAAACACAAAGTGTGTTCCAGTGTTCTTCCTTCTTTAGCCACTCAGCTATGCACATACAACTTGCCTGTGACGTGGCCCAGAAACCCAGTGTTTACCTTTCACTGGCCCCGCTCCCAAGTTATTTGAGCGTGTGGACTTTTGGCGTAAATCTGGCGCCATATAGGCTTTAGTCCTCCGAGACCGCGGCCCCTGCCGTCCTGTCTCCCTCCAACAGCGCGCGCAAGTGTGTGCGTGCGCGCGTGTACGCGAGTGTATGCGTCGTCACTAGGGTCGCCGCAAGGAAGCTCCGCTGTGATTGGTCCGTGTGTGTGTATTGGAAGGAAGCACGGAGCGGCTGCAGCAGGAGCATGGACGAGGCACTATGGAGCAGAGAGCTTTGTGCTTCGAAGGAAAAGCAGTTTGGGCTCAGAGCCTGATATACAGGAGACAGTGGACTATCTAACATATATATAACTTATATCTAACATATATATAACTTATATCTAACATATATATAACTTATATCTAACATATATATAACTTATATCTAACATATATATAACTTATATCTAACATATATATAACTTATATCTAACATATATATAACTTATATCTAACATATATATAACTTATATCTAACATATATATAACTTATATCTAACATATATATAACTTATATCTAACATATATATAACTTATATCTAACATATATACACTCGTAAATCGTTCATATTTGTCTCAGATATTTACCACTATTATTGTTTTGCTGTTTGTGCTGAAAACTATTTAATAATAACTGTTTCCAACAGAACTGTGTCTTTATTCACAGCATCACAGTTGAAATGACTTATAAAATAATGAATCCATAAAACTATCACATAAACCTACAGTAGAAACACTAGGCTTAAAGCAGCAGTAAGCGATTTTTGGGTGTTAATATACGTCTTAAATATTGATATATTCCAATAGCCATCACTTATATAGAGTGTTTGTACCTAAACACGGATCTCTCAGTCCTTCCAGTCTTCTCCCACATATTTAATAAAAAAACCTCACATCCTATGCGCTTATCCAATGACGAGAGAGCACGCCTTATAAGGGGTTTCTCCCGTGTGTGCACGCGCACTCTTCAAAACAAACATGGCGGAGAAGGAAAAGTATACCTCCAACGAAGCCGGCTGCTTTTTGAGAAGAGGTGGGACGTCTGTGTTTCTTCTGCTGCCCTACAGACCCTCCGGCAAGCCAAGTGGAACACTCCGGACCTGCTCCCTCTGACTGAGGACGTTAGAGCCATGCATGCACATATTGAGGTATGTCGACCTGAATATGTGCAAACCCTAATAAGTGAGCCAACGTCTAAGCATTGGTCTAAACTGGCAGTTTTGACTCTTTGTGAGGTCATCATTTTCAATCGAAGAAGGGAAGGTGAGGTTTCAAAGATGCCACTGACAGCCTTTACCTTAAGAAGTAAGACTGGGATCCATTCTGACATTGCTCTGGGACTGTCCCAACTTGAGAAAAAGCTGTGTCAGCATTTTCAACGCATTGAAATTAAAGGGAAAAGAAGTCGGAAAGTGCCGGTTCTTTTGACTCCTGAAATGATTGCTTCGATGGAGGTGCTGGTGGAGAACAGAAGGGCCTGTTCCATCTCTGACCATAACCCATACTTCTTTTCCCGCCCGGGCGCAGACACCCACATCAGGGGATCAGACTCCCTACGCCAGGTAGCCAAAGAATGTGGTGCGGTGCATCCAGAGATGCTATCCTCAACCAAACTTAGAAAGCACATAGCTACTATGTCTACAGTTCTCAATATGAAAGAGAATGAGATGGACATACTTGCCAACTTCCTCGGCCATGACATTCGCATCCACAGGCAATATTACAGACTACCAGAGGGGACACTGGAGCTGGCCAAAATCAGCAAAGTGTTGATGGCCATGGAGCAGGGAAGAGTGACGGAATTCGAAGGAAAGAGCCTCGACCAGATACAAATTGAGCCTGAAGGTAATTCTTGATATTATTAAAATATGTATGATTTTTTTCCCCTAAAGGCCACTTGTATTTTTATTTTCTGTGCGACAGGGAGAGCAGTAGAGATCCTCTCACAAACGGACGGGCTAAAAGAAACTTCAAGCGGAGAACCTTCAACCATTCATCCAGATGCACCCCATGGTAGTGGCAGTGCCCCTTCTGGTAAGTGTACCAGGTGGGGGATTACAGCCAGGCTGCTTGGTCCTCACCCTGGGAGTGTATATTGCTAATATATTTTTATTTCTCTCCCTAGAACGTGTAAGAAAGCCATGGTCTGCATCTGAGGTGAAGGCTGTGGAGAAGACCATGACACCTTTCATACAGACTGGAAAGGTCCCTGGGAAGTCTCACTGCCTGGCCTGCATTAATGCCTCACCAGATGACCTTAGACATCGGACATGGAGTGGCATTAAATTCTATGTCAAAAATAGAATCACTGCAATTCGAAAACAAAATCTAAAATAAAATTCCTTTAAAATAGTTGTTTGGTTTCTATTGACTGTTTTGTATTACTTAAAGTCTTGGTAAAAAAAGATTATGTCTATGGGTCCCATTCTGAACGGCCCTGTCAAAGGGACCCACCAGGTAACAAAAACGTGTATGTGTGTGCTTGTGTGCTTGTGGCTGTGTGTGACTGTGACTGTGTGGCTGTGTGTGCGTGTGTGCTTGTGTGCTTGTGGCTGTGTGTGCTTGTGGCTGTGTGTGCTTGTGGCTGTGTGTGACTGTGCTTGTGGCTGTGTGTGACTGTGCTTGTGACTGTGTGTGACTGTGCTTGTGACTGTGTGTGACTGTGCTTGTGGCTGTGTGTGCTTGTGGCTGTGTGTGCTTGTGACTGTGTGTGCTTGTGTGTGCTTGTGTGTGCTTGTGGCTGTGTGTGCTTGTGGCTGTGTGTGCGTGGCTGCTTATGAATTATTTTGAGGAAATGTGTTCAAACAAACTACAACATAAAGATTAACATTTTGTTAGATATCTCTGATAGTGTTCGCTGCAGCAGCGATGGATAAGGACCTGGATAATAACAGTGTTATTCATTTGAGCAAAAAGTGATAACACAAACGTTGCCTTACCATCACTTGTAATTATTTGTCTTAGTAGGGACATTGTGTATATTTTTCCGGCTATAACTTCAAATCTTCTTTTACATAATAAAGTTTCTTAGACTCGTTACAGACTGTATTTGTTTTCCTACTATAAAACAAAGCACATTGAAAGAGGTGAATGTATTTTTTTTTATTTTGAAATAGTACAACTACAAACATATTTCAGAACTGCAGAGTGGACGTGCACCATGGGGGCCGCTGAGGACGTGCACCATGGGGGCCGCTGAGGACGTGCACCATGGGGGCCGCTGAGGACGTGCACCATGGGGGCCGCTGAGGAAAGCACGTTTTCAATGTCTGTTGGCACCTTTCACAGACGCACCAGGGAAAGGTCTGGGAGGATCTGGTCATCAGCTTCTCTGGACAGAGGGCGTTCAGTGCTTCCTGAAAGAACCGTTATGACAAATGACTTTATATATTCTGTTACTTGTAGCTTTTCTTTCAAAGTGGTTTCCTTACAGTGTAATAGTGTAACGTAATTAGTTATGACAGTACTTTTGCGTTTCGGACAAGCTTTACTGGAATTGTTTTTCAGTCCCACATCTCACTGTACAGCTCTGATACACTTTGATTTTGTCTTCATTCTCTGAACAATAAGCACATAATACAGATGTTGATTACATCAATAAATGTATCTTTATTTTGTGACATTGAGAAGGCAGCTTCCAGTGAGATGCAGCTTTACTTTCACATAATACATTACTACAGTGTTGTCTATAAAGAACTCCAAATATACAAATTGTGAGGAAATAAGTAGCAGTAATGTATTACTTTAAATAACCTTCATGTAAAGCTTTGTTGTTATGTATATGCATTACATTCATCTAATACATATGCACTGTAACAGATTAACATCTGTGCATAATGTTGAGACACGTCACACTGCAATCTGCAACATTATGTTTATCACAACAGTTATCAGTGTGCCAACTATAAAAGCAGTATTATTCTATAAAAGACTGGATTGTTTTTATCTCTTTCTTAGTGATGCTATCCTAGCTAACACCAAGCTGCTTCCAGTGTTATAGCTAGGTTACAAACTGAGCTATTCTATGCTAATATTTCACTCCCAGAGTTTGTTGTTAATATACTTACGAGTAGACCTGACGGAGATGAATCTGCTGCTGCCATCACCAAGACGATGCGCGTTCATGTGGTGTGACGAGGGGGCGGGGGCGGGGCTACTAACTCGCTCAGGCAGAAGAAACTGCCGGAAACGACCAAATCGCTTACTGCTGCTTTAAGATAAAATAAAATAAAATAAGATAAACTCTGGGCTATAATTGCACTTGGTTCGGAGTATTTATAGATGTCTATATTATACATTAGCAGCGGAGAATATGAGAATATGAATATGAGCAGAATAAACATCAGAAATAATATCAACAGGTAAAGTGACTTGAATGGGAGAATTATCAGATGGATATGAATAATACAGTAAGATATCAACAGGTAAAGTGACGGTGAAAGGCAGAATTATCAGATATTAAATAATACAGTAAGATATCAACAGGTAAAGTGACTGGTGACAAAGTTACTAGTGAATTATCAGTGACACTTGTGCAGACTCAGCAGTTCCTGTTACACATTCTCGTTGTACAGTCTGACAGCAGCAGGAAGGAAAGACCTGCGAAACCTCTCCTTCACACAGCGAGGGTTATACTAATAGATCCATGGTGTTATATAGTTATTAGTTATTTAGTTAGTTATATAGTATAAGCCTATCATTATTATTATTATTATTAAAGAATAAAATGTATACATATTCGAGAGGTAATTTTAAGCATATAGTACTTTCCTTAAAATGTAAATTACTTCGGTATACAGTAGTGGAACTATTTCACACGCTGCTTGTTTCAGACGGAATATTGTATCGCACGGACATTAGACGGAAACAATCCAAAACAAAACAGATCTCTTTTTCTTTTACGGGCATTTGCTTGATTTGTGATATTGTTATTTCACTACTGCTTTGTATTCCTGCATTCTGGACTCACTGTGTCAGGGTGATGGCTTCTGGGTCCCCGTCCTCCTCTGCGGACACCGCGACAGGCTCCGGGACGGACCCAGCGCGGCCCGACACCGGGGAGCCGCTTGGTGGAGGGGGCTCAGACTCGGACTCAGACCTCGGGCTGGACAAGTTTGACTGCGGCCTGGCGGGGGTGGGAGACCGGCTGGAGGGGGAAGAGCTGGAGCGAGAGTTTGAATCAGCGGCGGATCGTGTCAAGGACCTGGTCCAGACCGCAAGCAGAGACCAGCTGCTCTACCTGTATGCGCGCTATAAGCAGGTAAGTGGTCTGGTAGAAGTCTGTCAAGGTTGACCAGTGACCGAAGGCCACGTTGTTGAGTGTGAAGGACGTGGCGGGACATGGTCATAAATAAGACAGTCATTTGGTGTTTGTTGGTATTATGGTGAAGTGTCTTGCTTAAGGACATAACGACAGTTTGGTAGTTTACAGCCTCGGTCGCCCCACTGTGGTACGTGTTCCCAGAGGTCTTCTATCAGAGTACAAACCAGACCAAGCCTTGCTTAGCTTCTGAGATCTTACAAGATCTGTCTGTAGGACTTAAAATGCAGTTATTGCACTTGTTTTACAAACATAATCTCTGATAAAGGTTTTTTTCTTTTACTTTAACATGGAACAAGATGCATCTCAAAATGTTTTAACACTCATTATCCAACACATAAACAGCAGTGAAAGATTTCAGAAAACTGTATTTAATACTCTTTAATGTCATGAGCGACTTTGATGGGGATGATTGTGACACATACAAATGAACACATCCTAATGCAGGATATCTTAACACTAATTATGTGTCCCAGAGCATTCAAGAGATGTTCCTTGGGAACAGACTTAGTGACAACCAAGAACAGTTGGGTCTACTACTAGAGAGCGATGCAAATGGATTTACTATGAGTGTAGCATGCACCTGTACCAGGACCAATGCGGCCATAAAATCTGTCAGGCCAGAATGAAATATGTGGAAATGGAAGTTGAGGTGCAAAAGCACAAGTTTCTGACCTGGTGAGACGCAGGAGGAGTCCGGCCAGGAGGCAACCCATTTAATTATGCTGGAACTCCTTGTACCCTGGGAGGAATGCATTGAGAAAGCGAAGGAGATGAAGCGAATCAGAAGAAGCGTGCCAAGTACCAGGAGCTGGTGGAGGAGTGCAGGGGTAAAGAATGGACAACTTTCTAGGAGCCCAGAGAAGGCCAAAAGATGGCTCTGGGTAAGAATGGCTGATTCGTTGGTAGCTTCTGGGACACGGGTTGGGGCCTGATAAATCCGTCCGAGTAACCTGGGCGAGGGTTTCTGTTGTGAGACCCGAAATACCCCATGACCCTAGGCCACATAACTAATGATGTGTTCCAGCGCAGCCAAGGGATCATATTTACTTTAATTAATTGGTACATCTCTGATATTCACATTGTAAAAAAACTTTAAATAATTTTTTATTAGTTTAAATGACTGCACAAATGCTGTATTTTTCCCTGATAGGGACTATAGTTATGACTAAACTAGCATAAATTCTTCTTATTGGTCCATAATTCACAAAAAGATTTAGAATTAAAATGCATTTGTTTATGCTTAATCCTCAGGTTAAAGTCGGAAAATGCAATACATCAAAACCGGGCTTCTTTGATTTTGAAGGACAAAGAAAATGGTTTGTATATATATAAATATCTATTTTCCTTTGTATTTTTTCTTGACGTGGATGAATTGCGTTTCTTTAGGCAAGCGTGGAAACAGCTTGGGGATATGGATGCTGAGCAGTCAATGCAGGAGTACATTTCCCTTGTGAATGTATTGGACCCAGAGGGCATCACAAAGGTAATATGAAGCCTTTTTTAATTTTGCCATTGACAAGAAACCTTTTTCATGAGTTTAACTGAAATTACCACCAAAAACCCTTCCTGAGTTTTTTAATTCATAATCCTTAGTGCAATAATTTGTCTGTTTGAAGCAATTTCAGGACGGAGAAGTTTGTCTTAGGCAACGCACACAAAACAGAAACACACACACACACAATAGCAACATCAGAGTTTGTATGTTTGATCAATTGAAACATAGTATTCAATTAAATTAAATTCATTTATGTATAGCCCTAAATCAAAACAGTAGTTATCTCGGAGGACTTTCCCCACACAGATCAGAGGATCAAACAATTCAAACACAGGGAATGCAATGATAAAAAACACAGAGAGCCATTGGTTCATTAGGGGCAGATGACCATTGTCCAGAAATATCATTGAATGTCGAATGTCCTGGATCATCACCACTGTCCTTATACCCTCCTGCATCGGCAAGGAAACACTGAAGAAAAATTAAACCTCGGGGAGGCACCCATGGGGTGCGGGAGGGATCCGCTCCCGGGCGGGTGGGAGAATAGCAATGAACAGACTACAACAGATGACATAATGATGTTGACCGATAAAGCAGGAAGAGGATACAGTGCTTAGATTACCATACCTCTCCCAGATAATTGTCTCCATATGCTGTGTGACAATCTGTGTTTTTAGACTTAAGGTTGTATTTCTACGTCTTACCTATGTTTCTTTTTTGTTGTTGTCTTACCTTCCTAACCAGATTCTGAATTTGTCAAAATTCAAGATCAACAAATCGATAATTATAAGTATATTGTAATACCATAAAGTTACCAGTAGATGTCAGTGTTTCTGTATTTCTTGCTCAGAGCTGTTTAATTGAGTTGTAAACATAAAAGGCCATATGCCATCAAACTCATATTTTCCTTCGCTAAAGAGAACATTACAAGGGCTGTAACTAACAATTATTTTGATAATCAATATTTGATTTTTAATACTTTTATTAATCGATTAGATTAGCTACCTGCATTGCTGGAGCTCGGTGAATATGGAATTTCTACATTTGACCAAAACAAATCAAGTGATGTCCCTGGAGAATATCTTCATAGAAATTACTTGTTACTCACAGGGTTGGTTGATTTAAACTAACCCTAACCCTAAAAAATATTTTCATTCTGTAGAATTATTTGAGTCATTAAAAAAACCTTATCGATTATGTTAATAAATAATTTGAGAACTATTCAAATAATTATGAATAATTAATAATAATTATGAATTGGTTTTCTAAGATGTGTAACGCATTACTTTGAAAACACATATTTCAAATTATGTTTAAAAAGTAACTAAGGAGTGCAACGTATTAACTGTATAAAATTACTTTTCAAAGTGACAAAACTGCCTAAAAGTGAGCATAAACTAATATCAACAGGAGATGGTTGTCTCTTGGCAGCCTGATTGTAAGGTACATTAAAGCAGGCTGGTCATAGTTGGGATTGCATGGAGTGTATTTTGTGTGTTAACATTTTAATATGCAGAAAAACATGAATGTTTGGGTAAGAAAAATAGTGCTAGTTACATGATAATGCACCTCTTTATAACAAATGCAGCTTTTGTTTCCAGCTGAGCGGTCTCCCACTCATTCACTTTCAAATGTTTCAAAGTTTCATATCTTGCCATGTCCTCAGTTCAAGTGTATTTCTCAGAGACTCCTGCGAAGAGTCCACGGGGCCACAATAGCACAAATGCCCCAGTAAAGAAGATAATAGTATTAGTGTTAACAAAGCACTATGGCATGGCAGCAGCCTTTCTTCTGGACACAGTTAAATGTTGTAAGCATAAGTGCAGAGACAGAGACAGAGGACACAATAATGGGCAGAATCTGACCTCTGCTCCCACCACAATTGTTAAGGAGACTTTATATTGTATTATAGTGGAGGAGCTGCGCGGGTGCATCAGCGAATATTCTGGGTTTCAGAAGTGAATTAGGTTGTCCCAAAAGTGCATGCATAGTTGTTTTGCTTTGTTTGTCATGTTCCCTTCTACTCTCGCTTTTTTCAGAAATCTGATTTGTGTGGCTTCCTTTGTGAGTCAAGGTTGGCACACAAACAATGGGCCTGTAATAAACTTGGGCTAAACTTAACGTTTTATGCCGTTCTAATTTATGATACAGTATGAAAAATGATCTTGAAGATTAACTTGGGTCACAAATTAGAGCACTTTAATTTTCTGTTGTGCCTCTGAATGTTGTTGGTCATTTATCAACTGTGAGGTCATGTCTAAGCCAGAAAAACATGTTTATCTGCTTTAAGTGTAGTAAAGATGCCACTGAAGGTAGTTGGTCATGTTTGTAGTGAATAATTGACTTTCACTAAGTTTTAAGAACTGTATACTGGGAACAGTTCTATTCCTCAGACACTTGCTCCAGGCTCTTCTAGACCTCTTCCCTGTAGAATCTTATGTATGGTTTTAATTTGACAGGAAAGAAAAGGAGGAGAAAAGAGAACCGGCTTTGGAGGAGCAGCAGTCAGCTCATTATACCAGGAAGAGACCATAAGGTAACACAAAATAAGTCCTCTATGGGTCAAAATGGGTCATCATTTTCTAAATACAACATCATTTGTCATTTTGCACATGCATTAAAATGCACAGAAAATGTTTAACCCCCAGCCTGTATATGATTATCTTCAACAGACCGTAACTGCTGTAAGGGCCTGCAGACGTCATACACTTCTGATTTATGTTAATGAAATATATTCTCCATTTAGTCTTTCCTGGCAAACTTACTCAAGCTTAAAATGCTCATCTTCATTTCAATATAAAGAGCTTTTTTGGAGTAGAAAATGAGATGTGTGAATCCTGCTGGTTCTGCCCCTAAATGCCTGTATATGATTAGTATGCACAGTGTTGGGAAGAGACAGCCAGAAAACTCCTATTTTAATTATGTTAGGATTCAGGGTGAACAGGGTGCATGGGTGAAGCAGACTTGAACTTGTGGGGATGTGGAGCACATCCCCACAAGAATGTGTTCCTTGGTGATAACCTGGAGCAGAACTATCCTTTTCTTTAGGGAAACTTGCAAATAAGAAGTCATCAGAATTACAGCTACCATTTCCTGCACACACATAAACATACATCTACTGCTTTACATTGGTGCAGCTGGATTCAATTCAGGACATAACCTGCCAGAACTGTCACACTCACTGCTCTGCTGCATTTCAATTTTCCTCTTTCTCTCCTACACACAGCAGAGTTCCATATTAAACAGCCAAGCACCTGTTAACCACTCTGAGAGTTAATTGCATTTCTTATTCCAGATCTTGATTTCCAAATGTCTCTATGTAACTAGTATTAATAAATCGGGAAATTGATTACCAATATGCCTAAAATGAGCTGATCAGATGGTTGGAGCAGCTTAAATACACCATCTGAAGTTTTCTCTCCAACCTAAACATGTTTCCTGATCAACGGCTTTGTTTTCCAGCCTCTTGGCAGCATAAGCCGCAGTTCTCATTGTTGGTGGTAGCTCCATGTGGAGGGTGCAGACCAGGGCCTATAGGGGCTGTGATGACAGATTGTGTAGGCCTTTGGCTCTGCTCATGCTCCTGTGATGGATGGTGTGGCGGTGGTGTTGATCAGTGGAGCTCAGGTCAGGTAGATGAACGTTCTCCAGTACTGTGGCCAGTTTAGTCTGATGGATGAAGGACATATCTGCCAGTACACCAGACTGGACACACACATGTTTGTCCATTACACCTACACACACATACAAGGAGAGTACACACATATGAGACACACTGAACTCTTTGTGCCACCACAGGGATGATGACAAAGTAGCTTGTGACCTTCCCAGCATGCAATGCAGCAAAGAGTTTATGTCATATTGTTTGTTTTAAAAGACAATTTTGGTAAAAACCAGCAACTCTAATTCTTGATAATAAGTCATGTATCTGTTCATTTATTAGTTATTTTACATATTGTATAAGCTGTAATGTAAAGTGAGGCCAGCCTAGTTCCATCATCAATGGAAGACTGATGAGCTGGCCTATTGATTAGTTGCTGGCGGAGACGGATGGCAGCCACACGGCAGGGACACTTGGGGTCACCATGGCCATCAGATGAGGAAGTGGGTGTGGTCCAACTCCTGTCTCATGAATAAACATAGAGCTGGTAATCAGGAGTATGTAAATGAATGTGCTCATACATAACCTAGAAGTAATAAAAGTGTAATGAGTTATTCATAATTCATCACAGGCTGATGAGGGGATGGCAGGAAGAGAGGGAATGAGTGAACTTGGAGAAGGAGAGGATGGAGCAACGCCAGAGGTTCATTAAAGAACAAAAGGGAAACAAAACTTGTCTTTATTTATGTGTTGTTGATATTTGTTTGTTAGTTAATTGAAGCTTTTCTAAAATTTGAGAACATTTGAGAAATCCATGTATCAAAATACAGAGGGATGTCTGCAATGACCCTGTATTCATGTGGTTTTCAATGTTTGGTGGTGATGGTGTTTTCTCTGTGTTCAACATAAGCGCAGGCGTTTTAGACCGTAATTGAGGCTTTGGCCTTGGGGCTGACAGACTTACTGTATGGGAGTGGTATGGCCATGGTGGGTACAAGGGGCTTCTGTCAGACAATGCAACACTATATTCAATTAATCAGAACGGCTGGTTTGGGTTGCAGGGTGGGGAAGGTGTAAAGCTCCAAATGAGATTGGGCCCCTGTTCTCCTGTTTGCCCCTAGTCCACGGCCACCACCTCTGCTGCACCCACGCTGTTGCGTGTCCCCAGTGGCTCGAGGTGATTAGAGGTATCAGTCTGATCAAATCTGTTTGCGTGATATTACTATTCCTCAGAGATGTGGCACGTGTGCAGCTGCTGGCCTATGAAATGCACATTTTAGATACTAAATCATGTGTCATATTAGATTGTAATCAGAATTGTACATGTTGCAGTGGACAAACAAGCATGTCAAAAGACAAACTGAATCAAAATTTCTTGTATCAATTTTTTGCAGAGAGGAAGATAAGAACATCTTCGACTACTGCAGGGAAAATAATATTGACCGAATCAGCGAGGCTCTGAGCTCACAGAACGTGGACGTCAATACAAAAGATGAAGAGGTAACAGTGCACAGTGCTTTCACAATATCAGCAGTTTAAACATTGGGTGGCCGGAGGTGTGTATTTTAGAGATAGTGGGAACCTGTTGGCATCACGCAAAGAGTGAAAAATTAACCTTTCACTCAAGGACATGCTGTTATGTATGAATGTTCTCCAGCTGATGGTTCCCAGAAAGGCACTGCATGTGTATCTACAGTGAAACCGACACGTTTCTCTGAAAAATACCGGCCAATTCGTAAAATGTATGCAGCTCCTTACAAAGTTATGCAATATATTGAATAACATGTGACCACTACTCCTGAAGTGTAATTTTTGTGGACAGCTATTAACATTGTGAGGTGGTTTTTGAATTGACCCCGAGGTCCATTCATCTCTCTTAATTCATTATCAGCCAGACCAAATGGCTGTGTCCCTGCCTTTCTTCATCGTAGCGCTTCTCCAGATAAGCTGCAATCGGCTGTAGAATCCCAGTCCGTAGCCAGATGGTCCAGAGCCGGAGAGCTTTGTCTCTTCACTGCCATTGTTTATGTGATCCTGAATGTAGTTCATCCAAGCAACAGCAGAGGGCACTAGTGAAGTTTCACTTTACATTCACAATAGTAATGAAACAACTAGTGGCTGAATTCTTCTGCCTTCACCCACCTGAGGATATTAAAATAAGTCTGCCCCATCATAGCCACTTCTGGGGCCCCATGGACCATGGAAAAACATTTGCTAATGTATGCATTTCTTGCTTGTAATTTGCTTTAATTTTTTAATGAAGGAACAACTCATTATTATTTTGAAGTCAATTAGTTGTCCGCAATGCACCCTGTTGTCAGAGATCACTATTCCAAAGCCTTGCTTTGTGGTTAAACTCTAGTTAAAATCCCATTCAAAGCCGTGTGGTCTATGTTATGAATGTTGTCAGGAGTCAGCAGCCGCACACCTGGCTGAGTGCATCTGATTGGTATTCTTGCTTGGCTTATAGAGATCCATTTTAACATGCAGCCACAGTGATCAATATGATTTAAGCAACCAAATTGTACTCTGGGAGTTTGCTTTACCTAATTGGCCTCACTGAAAAATGAGCTTGCATGGCTCTATTAGCACAAGGATGTTGGAGTGCCCAGTGGTGGGTCACTGATCAGAGGCTGCTCCTGGTTGGGGATAGGTTTTCATCAATCACACATCTGTGAGTTTATGGGCTGGAGTTCACTTTTAGGGCTTTAACCACAACTTTGTAATTTATCAAGTCAAACGTTGGGAATTGTTTGCTAAAATAATGCATTGGATTGGGCATTACCATAATAATCCTTAATGTTTGCGGATTCAGGGCCGAGCGCTCCTACACTGGGCCTGTGACAGAGGACACAAGGAGCTGGTGTCACTATTACTGGAACACAAAGCAGACATCAACAGTCAGGTAGGTCAAATATATCACTAGTCGATATATCGTGCATAGATAACTGGTAAATGTTTAAATACATCAGTGCTATTCATTTGTTTATTTGTGGTTTCTAATGGACTGAATTACTTACTCATTGATTATCATTCAGAACTATTTGTTATTATTATTTGTATTATAATAATTGTCAGCTACAATCCACTATTTGAATAATTGTTGACAAATTGTTCAAATAGTGAACAATAAAATGAATAATTCTTTTTCTTGATGGAAAAACTGTTTTGTCTGGTTTAGCTTTCACAACATCTCACATAAGAATTCACACTGGCTCAATTAAAAGTATAAACATTTCATTAAAAATAATAAAGAGTTTTAACACTTCTTTGCGTTTATAAAGGACACTCCCAACTCCTGCAATCCGAGTTGGCCCATGTTTAGCCTGTAGACTGCTCTTTGGCCTTTCAAGGTTTAGCTGCATTGGTTTTATCTCTGTTGGTGAGCTGGCTCAGCTGCACATTGAAGAAATTACTCTTCTAGAAACAGAGACCCAACAAAGCTTTTCCTATGGGCTGTGCACATGGAGGCTTTAAGTATAATGCCAAATCAATTGGAAGTAATCAGGGAAATTGTTTGACGTTGTACAACACACTGAATAATTCCACAGATGAATTTATATAGTGGTGTTTTGAGGAGGAAATTGGAGGACTTTAGAAGAGCAGATAAAATGACCTAATCATGAGCTGCTTAAAGAGTCCAGCAGTAAAGGCTGCCATCTACACAGCGGTAATCACACTTGTTGGTGCTAGAGTCATGTTTCATTAGCCAATCAGAGCACAGACTTGTCCTTATTCATTCATTAGGTGCACAAGGACCTCTTCACCTGCCTGTCTCACAGGTGTCAGCACAGCAGCTCTGAGGAAGACTGAATATTATAAGAACCGGACTGTGCTGCACTGTTACTGGGAGCAGATTTATGAGGTGGCAAAGAAAAAAATGTAACACTAAATCACATCTCAGAGTCACAATGCCAAATTATTTGCCCACTATGTAAAACTGCAGAAAGATACATTGCACATTAGACAATCACAGAAAAAGCTGTTTCGTACTGAGGGCCATACATTTATGTTATTTTATCGCTGCAATGCTGTGATGAAAGGAAACTTTGTGTGTTGGTCTGCAAAAGCATGCGTAAGGTTAGTACAGACCGGACCTGTAATCACTGTTGACCTCTGTAGCCACTGGTAAATACAGCTCAAACCTGATTTATGCTTAATTTGTTGATTAAAAAGGGGCAGAGGACTTCAGTGATAAAACAAAAACTATTATTCCTTTGGCTGACAAGGGAAACTGTTTAATATTAATCAACTGATTGCTTTAGTGAACTGTTCCCAAACCCTGGTAACCTGCATTAGGGCTTGTTTGATAGTTAATCCTGGATCAGGACAGTGACAGACTACAATAGGTAGTAGTGAGCACAGCTCTGCCAACTGTGGGCTGGTCCTGATGTGGCCTGTACATTAAGCTCCTCTCTCCTCATCCATACACCGCGCACTCAGCTAATAGACCCAGGAAAGTGGGACACCACACCACAACTGTGGGACACAATAAAAGCTCACTTAATGTAATAATAAAAATTACGGCTTAAACACTGCAGTATTTGCTACAATATATGTAAGAGCATTAATAAGGTATTACTTACATTCCATCATATCAGCTGACCAGATCACCACTAAGTTCATGTACTTTAATTAAATGAATAAATCGCTCTCTCTTGTGTCTTTTTCAAACTGTGTTTCAAAGCCTTGGCTGTATATTTTATCATAATATACATCATTGTTGAGTACCAGGTACCACAAAACACAATTATTTTGTTTTGTGTGAAAGCATAATTTGCTTCAAGACTTACATTTTAATAAAACTATTGTTTCTTTCAAACCATGTCATGTCCAATGGTTTCATTTAATTGTCATAAAATTACTTCAAAAGCCATAGAAGTACATCAAAAGTCATATCAAACTGTCAGTCTCAATTGTAAGTATGAACATGTAATGAATATGTATGTATATGTGTGTGTGTGTGTGTGTGGCACTCTGGTCTAATTGAAAAGTTATTTTTTATTTAATGTACAGAAAACCCGCAACAAAGTTTGAACAGAAAGCAAAATGATACACAATTTTTTCATCTCAAACTGAAAGCTGGGGCCTGCATAAGTGAGCATGCACATTTTTGCCGAGTGCATTAAATGGCCATCAAAAATGCTCTAATGATAACGATTTAAATAGAGCCAACTTCAGTGTAATCTACTCTCAGTATAATTATAGCTCTTCTGTGATGGCCTCAGAACTGATCACAAAACAACATCATGAAGTCCAAAGAGTGGTTCCAGAGAAGTCAGGAATTAAGTTTTTAAGTTATACAAAGTGTTCCTATGCTTTGAACATCTCACAGAGCACTGTTCAATCCATTTGGGGCTGGTAAGAGTGTGGCACAACTGCAAATCTACCAAAACTCTGCGGTCTACCCAAACTTACAGCTCAAACCAGGACGACACTGATCACAGATGCAGACATGTAGACAATGGCTTCTCTGGAGGAGCTGCAGTTGTGCACAGCTCACTCGACAGTAATCTGTACATGGGGCAAAGATTAGTCTCACTAATCAAGTCTTTCCTCTATAGTCGAATGATAAAAAGAAATCCAGCGTTGAAATAAATGGGCGGCTCGGTGCAAGAAGGTCCTGGGTTCGAATCCCGGTCGGACCAGGGCCTTTCTGAGTGGAGTTTGCATGTTCTCCCCGTGTCTGCGTAGGTTTCCTCCGGGTGCTCCGGTTTCCCCTACCACTAAAAATATGCACAATAGGCCTGGCATGCGCCCCCTTTTCGGCGACCCCACTCCATCTCTGTGTGGAGTGAGCGACAAATGCCCAAAAATAATAACAATTGTAAACCGCTTTGTGACTCTGGTCTGTGAAAGGCGGTATATAAATAAAGATTACTTACTTACTTACTTAATAAAGCTGCAGGAAACAAAATGGGGACACATTCAATATGTGGATGAAGGTGCTGTGGTTGGATGAGACCAAAATTGAACTTTGTTGCCCAAATATAAAATGTATCACTCAACAACTCATGTATCATTTTGCTTTGACTTCACTTCACAGTCTGTTACTTTGTTGAGGTCTTTCAGTAAACAATCCAAAATAAAATATTTTTGTGTTGTGACAAAATGTGCAATAGTTCAACACTAGTTGTGCATATTGTTACTAGAAGTTTGTATTTTTTAAAATAATATGACAAATTGGATACAATTGTAAGTAATTGGATTGGTGATGGTGCTTGTTTTTGTGTGTGCATGTGTGCTCTGCCTGTGGTCTCTGACCAGACGCTGTAATCCTACACCCTCAGCTTATCCTCATTCCTCACTTTTGTTTTTCTGAGGTGGAAATCCTCCTCAAACCTTTTCATGAAGTGACAAAGTGAAGAACGGTAGTCTAGACTGAGCTAAGCAGGCAAACTTTTTACACAGTTGGGCTTACTTAATTGTGCCGTAAGCTGAGGGATAGGAAAGGATTTTTTTAACAATGATCAGGCACAGGTGAGATGCAGGTTAACACAACAAAAACAGCCGGAAGGAAACAAACAAAAAACAAGAAAAGAGACAAGAGTCTTTCTGTCCTCTTTCTCTTCTCCTCATTTGTCTTTTGCTTCTCTGTCCCTCTCACCCCATCCCTTCAGTCGCCCTTTGCCCAATCTGTGTATTAAAACAACATGATCCATGAGGCGGGGTGGTCTACTCGCTAATTCTAATTAATCCAACATAGTAGCTCGCTCACGCAGGCCCCAAGCGCTCCCAGTCTATCAGATAGAAATTCATAACTTAATTGAGGTCAGAGCCTCGAGTCTGCAGAACAAAAGTCTTCGGCCAGGACCAGCAAGATCAATAGTAATAAATATCTGACTTGAAGCTGCAACTATTGGTGACCACAGAGAAAACACAAGATTTATCCAGATCATTTGAACGGGTGTCTTTAGAGAAAGAAAAAAACTATATATAAGTTTAATTTTAAGTTCAAATCGGTCAATGCCTTGATTTATGATAGAACAATTCTTTTCTCCTAAACATTCCCATGGTGGCATGCACTCGATCATAAGACAATTCTTTGGGTTGTGAAAAAGGCAGACTAACAGGAAAAATTACAAATAGGAATGTACAATAATCATGTTTAAATGTGAGACCATGGCAATTATAGTAGGATTGCATTGTTTTCTCACTCCAATGTATCCTAGTAACTTACTATAAGCCCATTCCTCTTCTTGAATCAACTTCTTTGTCTGGAACAATGTATCATTTTAATTTTCGTCCATGCACATTTTTCAAGAAAAGCGTTGTAAAACTAATATCAATATTTATGACTGAAGTTGCTCCGCGGGCAGCATAAGAGCGATATTATAGTTCTGATGTAAATGCTTCCCTGTTAGCTTCTGCTGCACACAAAGCCATCTCATGTGTGTCCTCTACTGTTGACTGTAGCGCCCACAGTAAACCACGTACACACGCACTGGGGCACTGAGCTGATTGAAATTCTATGGCAGAAGCATTATTACACGTTGGTATCCCTCCCCTTTCCCAGCACTAGCCCCTATAACTAATGGCTCAGTCAGTCCAGTCATAACAAATATCCAACCAGATTCGTCATAATTGTGTGTATATGCATGTGTGTGTGCGCAAGTGTGTGTTTCTTCGTAATTGTGCAACCTTACCCCATCCAGAAAATATGGGGTCTTTAAGAGAAGAATGGGATGAAGGTGGAAAACTAAAAACGGCTGAATATAAATGAAGTGCAAAATATAATTATAAGGCCATAGCACGGTGTAAACAAAGCCGATGACAGCAGTTGCAGTGTATACTCCTTCCACAAATAAATTCTAGGCTTTAATTTTTTTCTAAACTCATTTACAAGCATCAGGATGCTGGCTGGTGATTTTTACAGCGTTGAACCTTCTTGTGTCCTTTTTAGTGAGGATCTGTAACTTCTGCTGCACCAATTTTACCGTCCACATTGTAGGCACTTCTTATTGGAGCTGTATTTAGTACCTGCGGCACATTAGGCCAAGTTGTGGAAATGAAAGCGGCTGTGTTAAAAGGGCCCATAGCACGTGGCTACAGTTATGAATCTATTATATGAGCACTCAGAAAGGAGCCGGTGAGCTGACAGTAATAGTGCAGCCTAAAGAGGCCATTGCAGCAGGTAACAGTCCTCTTTGCCATCATCAGCTGTTGTTTCTTTCTTATTGGCCACTCTCTGGGCCTTGCCTACACTCAACTATTTGATTTCCATCGTTCTTAACCGTCCACATAAATTGTCGGGAGCATTAAAGCTGTCCTCGACCATTTGAGGCGGAGGTGGAGAGGAGAGTGAGAGAGTGCGGGCTGGATGCAGACAGCCGGGGAGGGGATGGTGAGCACGGAGAATAAACAAAGTAAGTGTTTTCCCTCCATCAGTCTCCTGCACTACTCAGCTTTATGGGTCCCTCACTCCAAATGCCTCAGCCCCCGCGCCCACACCATTGATTTTCATATTACACTCTTTTATGTATTTATTTATTTCATATATTTCTTTTTAAACGTCATCGATGAGACGCAGGAAAAAAGACGGGGCCTCTGGTGATGTTAATTCTCAGCTCTGGCCTTATACTCTTCTCTGATGGCCATAATGGAGGCTAAGGGGTCCCCAGGGAACAAGCAAGTCCAGTGACACTGGAGGTAGGGAAGCGTCCAGCAAACAGGGAAGGAGAGAAAATAAAGATTAGCAGAAAGAGAGTCCATCGTTATAACGCTTTAATATATTGAAAGACGTGTATTGCGATTAACAATATAGTCGAACCTATGTTATTGTTATTATAGCCACAAACTGACACAAATAAACAGCTGAATTCAACAATAATTAGCCAAAAGTCACATTCAGCTCCAATTGTATTGCACTGTATACTAAAGAAAATGGAATATATCTTGTTACTTTTAGTCAATTCATTAGGTATTGAATTATATTTTAATATATTTGACAGGCCTAGCAAGTTCTCCCTTTGTTTTATATACAAAAGTAACAGAATTTACAGAATTCCACCATGGAATTCTACAGTGATTTTCCATGTAGACTTTTGAATTCTGGAAACAGAAGTTATCTACTTAACTTCTGTCTTCAGGTTTTTGATTCAAATACTTTCAAATGTATTTTATACATTGATATGTTTTTGATCCTGTTGAAAATGTTAAGAATGGAATAGCCATAAAGGGGAGATCTAATCTTAATCGTTTGCATTTTTGTCCCACCTCTGGACTGGGTGTATAGTCACTGGCTGAAGGTTACTTCACTCACTCGCAGAGGAGAGCCTGATCTAATTAGAGGTGGCCCGGACGCCACATCCTTTTAACACTGGGTCTTCTGAAAGAGCATCCACATGTGGAAAAAGCAGATGGACTGAGGGAGAGCTCCTTGTGGAGATGGTCATGTTGATCAAATACAATCTCAAACACTCAAACCATTTTGGAGGCCTTTTGGACTGCGTTCTGTGGTGAGGCTTAGCCTTCTGCAAACTTATTATGTTCTTGGCTGCACAAACTCTCTTCATGTGTCGACCTCAAAGTTGAGTAGTGTGCAGTGCGGTTCATGGCAGATTTATTGTAGTGGCCTGTGGTGTTGCTGCTGGTTACAGATGGCTCTCCCACGAGCTCCTCTCCATCTTTCTGCTGTTGTCTGATTAATGGCACCTGCTCATCATAATGCTATCTGCTGGAATCTGCATACCAATGATCCCCTAGTGCCTATCGATTCAGCCCTCATCTTTCCAGCGCACACACTCTCCCTCCCTGCTACACTGTCATTATAAAAGTCAGCAGCTGCTGCATGCATTGATCATAAATCATAATTGCTTGTCCATTTTTCCCCACTTGGTTAATGTTGCTGTCAGGGGCTGTGGGAGGGCGAGGGTAAAAACGAGTCGGGAGGGAACAGACAAGCTCTCAGAAAGTTTCATCAGGTGAACTTAAAAAGAAGGCCCAGGTTTCTCTGCGACCACATAGTTCCTCTCAGGGCTGATGTTGGTGACCACAAGAGTTCTTAACAGGAATGTAAAGTGCTGAGGTGTGAAGGTAAAATCAGACTTCACTTTGCTGTAAAGCTGAGGGATTTGTCCAACTGGGTCTTGTCTATAAAGAGCAGTGTAAGATAAAATTTCATTTTATTGTCATTTATTTTTGTAATATATATTTTAAGCACTTGAACAAATGCTTGCATCAGTTTAATTCACTTGATTTGAATGCAAGCGACAGATTGCGGAAGTTTACATAATGTAAAAAGACAATTTTATTACATTTTTACCCAATGTTTTTTTATTGTCTCATGCTAAGCATTGAGAGATTCACACATCAATTAGACCGAGTGTGTTGGAGAAGAGGCCTGTACAGCCCACAGATGAATCAAAAATTATATTCCTGCACACTGACCGTGCGGAAATATGTGCGGAGTGGACATTTGTATGAATCATTTGTATTTATTTCTTCAAAGTTCTTCAAAATCTCTCTTCACTCACTGTCTTCAGGGCAAACATGTGCCAGGGATGTTACACAGTCCGCTTGATACTGTATGAAACTGAAACCTGTGTTGGTCATCTGAATCTGTCCAGACATCAAACCACCATCTTGATTTATTCTCCTTCCTTCCTCCTTCCTATTCTCCTTTATCTCACTGGACTTAGTTTTTGTAAAGAGGAAATGATAGATTAGTGGGACTTACATTCAGCAAAACTGCAATTGTACTAATAGATCAAGGCCTCCCCATGCTACTCCTAAGCATATTGGCCCACCCCATTAGAGTGATACACTGCACAGCTGCTATTGTGCAAGCCACTGCTTTATTGAGCACTATGCTGACATCCAGTCCGGCATTTCTGCACTGCAAGGGGAAACTTTGGATGACATGTAAAAGCAGAGGTTCTATGCGACATGGCTCCATAATGTGATGGGAACGGGGTGCACCGGACTGAGGGGGGTTGAAAACTGCTACGGTAGCGAACAGAAGGTATTGGGGATGTACGGGGGAGTGTCTTGTCCTGGCTGCTTCCAGAGCAAATGGAAGACAATCCAATTTCCTGTGATTCCATCAGCCTCCGTCCTGGATCCAGGGGCATTAGGGAACGTGGAGAGGACAGGCCACTGACCCCCAGAGCAGACATGCACCCTCAGAACGGAGTGAGGACGTACACATGTGCAGCCAGCGGTGGCACAGCGGGCTTTGTGTGCGTGTCGGTTTAACTACAGATTAGCGCCTGCTCCAGATTAGCGCCTAAACCCCTCACACTTTAATTATATTGTATGCATTTACTGTGCCACCATCTATCTCTATAAGACTTTTTCTTAACCCTATTTCTGACCATACCATTCAACAAAAGTACTTTTGCATACTACTTTTGGTACTTCTAATCCAAATTTATATTATTACTCTATTGTACATTGTGTATTTTTTATTGTCCCAATAAGGGAATACAAACAAAGTTCTCACAATCCAGAATTGTCTTGACATACCTTCAAATGGAGGTGAATATATTTGGAATTTGGAAATTGCAGTCATTTGTTGTGTGTGTTGTGCTTTTAAAAGAACTATTGTAATTGTAATATTATATTTTTCTATACCTCTTTGAGTTATAGAAACTCTGCTCACTTTGGTATAAGAGAATACTATATTTGTTGCAATGAGGATTTTCATTGTATTTAACTGAAATTAATACATTTTAAATCATTTCAAATTCGATGATGACCCATATATTTGGTAACATTATGTTTTCTTCTATCTTGAGCAGTCCCACTTTGCCTTACTCTGTTGATATTTCAGACAGTATTGTTGCAGTCCAGCTGCAGTATCTTACTAAACTGCTGGTGATTTGCATCTGTGTTTAGTGATCTGCCCGGTGGGAATAGAAAGCTCTAATCCAATCAGCGGGTCCCTGAAGTGCTGCCCCTCACCGCAAGAACACAACAATAGGATCAGTCTGCGCTGAGCTAAACAGAGAAGAGGGTCACATTTAAGACGGAATATCTGATTGTTGTGTCCGGTAAACTGAAGAATACTTTTTGTAACCCTATTCCAAATAAATAAAATGGATGAGAATATTTGGCAGTTTCACCTTTTTATGGGGCCCAAAATCGTATAAATGTTATAATGCCTTTGAGAAACTTGGAGGTGTGCAGAGAAGTCTGGCTGGAAGCAAAGAGTGGAGCAAGAGAGGCTAATGAACAGTTTTCCCGTAATGGCTTTTGTGATTTTTGAGTTTTTTTTTTTTTTTTTGTCTGATGACATTGAGAAGTGTGGAAAGTGCCTTTTGACTTTTAATCTATCTCACAGCTTAGTCATTGTGCGTGGCTGAACAATTGCCTCTGCTCTGGGACTGGAGGCTACACTTTGTCCATTCATCATCATTATAAGGTGCAAAGGCAGGTGGGAGCTGTGATTAAGAACTGAGTCTGCTGTTGATGATGCCTGTCATAGAGTGGGCCTTATTGCACCCACCTCTGTCCCAAAAGAAATGTATATTGGTCACTGAACTCTGGGTTTAGAGTACACCTCTTGCATAAATTCCAAATGTATCAGTATTTTTTCTTTTATGTACATAAATGATCTTTGTATTTGGAGAAACACAATTTAATATGTTGATACCCATTGTTCCTATTCTAATCTTAAAACTTCTTTCTACACATGCGGTACCTCCTAACTGCCAGATGCAGAGTAATGTTCCATGTACTGCCTGTTTTTAGCAATGTTCTTGTACACTATTACATGCTTTCCAATCATAATACTTGTTTTTTTCATTTCTCAGGATAATGAAGGGCAGACAGCATTACATTACGGTAAGACATTTAACTATATCGCCATTTGAATCATATTTGATACATGAATTTCTAAGCTCCCTCCATAATCTGTGTGATTTTTTTTTCTCAAAAAACTTGTATACAATTAGACACTTGTAATGCACATGTCCATCCACCAGAGGCCAGTCATTTGGGCCCTAAAGTCACACGAGTGAGACGTCAACACACACCCACATGTTTTTTTCCAGCTAACATAATTTAAATTTGAAACTATTTAAGGTGAGAAAAACTTTAAAATTGTTACTGATACTTTAAGGGCAATGTTTAGAGGATTCATGCGATGTAATACTTGAAAATATTTTACAACTTAATTTATAGTAAAGCCATGTTGAAATTGTCTGTATCAAATTCTATACAGCGGGTATTTACAGCGGTAATTTATTTTCCACTATGTTTTTCATTTTTTCATTATATTTCAAGACTTATGCATCAAATAAAGCAACACCCAGTTTTTATCTTGTATAATTTTTTTAAAATTAGCTTTAACTATATAATCCAGGTTTATTTGGGGTAAATATGTTTTAGTCATGACCTTTTTTGTATATCAGTCGTCATAAATAATGACTACAATACAACAAAATGCTTTATGGGATTAGGACTAAGGATTAGTTGATAAAAGTAGAATATGGGTAGGTAGTTTTTTTGTTTCCAAAATAATAGATAAAGATTTCACGTAATAAAATATTGTGTATTTTTTCAGATTTATTTGAAAATAAATAGATAAAGCATTGTGGATGTTGTGAAGATAGGCATTCGGGTGACATGAAGGAATAAATTTTTATAAAAATACAAATACTTTTTTTCTGATAGAAAACGCTAATATTGTATGTGTATGGCTCTGTTCATACTCGCGAACAAATGCCCGATGTATCAAAAGTGATACAAATCAACAGTCATATTTGCAGAATTATTTTTTTTATTTTTATTTATATTTATGTTACAGGGATCAGTAATCTCACCAGTCTCCAAATATGAGAATTTTCTGGCAATTATTTCATGGACCGGGCTTTATAGGGTGTAGAATGTGTACACTCACCGTAAGTTATTGGAAGGTTTTGGTTTAGACTCATTGTTTACTTTTGTGTTACACTTGCTCCAGTTAGCTCCAGTTAGCTCCTGCTTTGTAACAAGTGATACACATTTGTGTTTGCCCCGTCTGGTTTTGTTGGGTGTGTAATAATCACAAGTCCTCCCAGAGGAAATCAGCACTCCCCTGACCCTCTCATGCCCCATCAGACGTCCCAAAGGGGCGTTCCTCCACCACAGGTGTGTGTGTGTGTGCGTGTGTTTGTGTGTGTGTGTGCGCGCATGCGTGTGTTTGAGTTCACCATCTGTCCCTGAGCGCGTGCACTGCCCTGGTATGTTGCATCACCTATTCGATGTCCTCACACACAGAGCACAAGAAGTCCAGAGATGGGGCATAAAAAGATGACTAATAAACATAAGCGATGAACTCCTAGAGACAAATAGCAGAGAATGAAAATTCATTCGCACCTCTCTTTGCACAGGGCCACACTGCTGGCAAGTGATTAATTGAGGGTTTACTGCTCACCATAAATTGTGCTCCTCCTCTACGGCTCCCACGAGGGCCGGCCACTTTTTACAGCTCAAGGCCCATGGCAGACACCCACTGCACAGGCACACGCCGCCTAAATAAAACACTGTTTAGAGCAACAACCTGAGCTCTGCAATGCCTCTTTAGTCAGTCACATGTGGTGAATCATTAGTGGTCCTTGTGGTGGTCAATATATTACCTTTTAAGACACTGTGTGCATGGACATGCATGTATATGATCATATCTCATGCATACCAGCAGCAGGTTACAAGGCCTGGCTGTCAATCACTGCGGCTGCTGACATCAGCAATCATTGGCCTTCGATCAGCTTTTTAAATGGAGAGAGCGTTTGACACAGAGTTTGTTGTATAATATACTTACGATTAGACCTGACGGAGGATAGAACATGCTGCTTGCCAATCAACCAACACGATGCGCGTTCATAGTGGTGTGACGAAGGGGACGGGGGGCGGGCTACTAACTCGCTCAGGGCAGAAGAAACTGCCGGAAACGACCAAATCGCTTACTGCTGCTATTAACCATTTTAACAACAAAATCGGGTGCGTTCAAATACATAGAATCACAGTTGTTGGCTGCCAGTATTCAATACAATGATGTTTATCTGGCCTGTTTTAAGCGTTTCAAGTGGTTTGCTGCATGAAATTCCCTATTATACAACAGAAACATTCAAATACATAGAATCACAAGTTGTTGGCTGCCAGTAAGGCAACTTCATGATGATGTCTGGCCTGTTTTTAAGCGTTTCAAGTGGTTTGATACATGAAAATTCACTTTTGACAAAACAGAATCAAGATTTCAAAATACAAAGAATCTTAGTTGTTGGCTGCCAGTAATGCAATTCAGTATAGTATTTCTGGCCTGTTTAAGCGTTATCAAGTGGTTTTGCTGCTTGAAATTCACGTATACAACAGAATCACTTCAAATACATAGACATCACAGTTGTTGCAGCCAGTATAGCATTTCAATGATGTATCTGGCCTGTTTTAAGCGCTTCAAGTGGTTTGCAGCATGAAATTCACTTTTAACGAACAGAATCAGTTCAAAATACCATAGAATGCTAGTTGTTGGCTGCCAGCTAATACAATTACATGAATGTTTCTGGCCTGTTATAAGCGAATTCAAGTGGTTTTGCTGCATGAAATTCACGTTTACAACAGAATCATCTTCCAAAATACATAGAATCACAGTTGTTGGCTGCCAGTATGTCAAATCATGATTTTTCTAGGCCTGTTTTAACATTTCAAGTGGTTTGCTGCATGAAATTCACTTTTTACAACAGAATCAGAATCAAAATACATAGAATCACAGTTTTGGATGCCAGTATAGCCATTCATGAGTGTTCTGGTCCTGTTTTAAGCGATTTCAAGTGGTTTGCTGCATGAAATTACACGTTTACAACAGAATCATCTTCAAATACATGAGAATCCACAGTTGTTGGCTGCCAGTATTGCAATGGTCCATGAATTTTTCTGGCCGATTATTAAGCGCTTCAAGTGGTTTGGCTGCATGAAATTCATCTTTTACAACAGAATCAGATACAAATACATAAGAATCTTAGTTGTTGGCTTGCCAGTATGCAATTCATGATTGTTTCCTGGCCTGATTTTAAGCGTTACAATGTGGTTTGCTGCATGGAAATTCACGTTTACAACAGAATTCACTTCCAAATACATAGAATCACCAGTTGTTGGCTGCCAGTATGCAAAACATGATGTTTCTGGCCTGGATTTAGCGTTTCAAGTGGTTTGCTAGCATGAAATTCACTTTTTATACAAAATCTCAGATCAAATACAATAGAATCACAGGATGTTGGATGCCAGTATGCATTCATGATGTTTCTGGCCTGTATTAAGCGTTTCAAGTGGTTTGCTGCATGAAATTCACGTTTACAACAGCAACACTTCAAATACAAAGAATCACAGTTGTTGGGCTGCCAGTATGCAATTCATGATGTTTTCTGGCCTTTTTTAAGCGTTTCAAGTGGTATAGCTGCATGAAATTCGACTTTTACAACAGAATCAGATCAAATACATAGAATCACAGTTGATTGGATGCCAGTATGACATTCATGATGTTTCTGGGCCTGTTTTAAGCGTTAACAAGTGGTTTGCTGCATTAAATTCACGTTTTACAACAGGAATCACTTCAAATACATAGAATCACAGTTGTTGGCTGCCAGTATGCATTTCATGAATGTTTCTGGCCATGTTTTAAGCGTTTCAAGTGGTTTGCTGCATAAATTCACTTTTACAACAGAATCAGTTCAAGATACATAGAACACAGTTGTTGGCTGCCAGTATGCAATTACATGATGTTAGCTGCCTGTATTTAAGCGTTTCAAGTGGTTTGCTGCATGAAATTCACGTTTTACAACAGAATCAGTTCAAATACATAGAATCACAGGTGTTATGGCTGCCAGTAATGCAATTCATGATGTTTCTGGCCTGTTTTAAGCGTTTCAAGTGTTTGCTGCATGAAATTCACTTTTACAACAGAATCAGTTCAAATACATAGAATCACAGTTGTTGGCTGCCAGTATGCAATTCATGATGTTTCTGGCCATGTTTTAAGCGTTTCAAGTAGTATTAGCTGCATGAAATTAAAGCAGCAGTAAGCGATTTTTGGGGTGTTAATATACGTCTTAAATATTGATATATTTCCAATACCACACTTAATAAAGATGGTTTGTACCTAAACACGTGATTCTCTCAGTCCTTCCAGTCTTCTCCCCACCCTAATATTAAAAAAACCACACATCCTATTGCCGCATAAACCAATAACGAAGAGCACTCCTAATAAGGGATACTCCCGGTTGTGCACGCGCACGACATCAAAAACCGAACATGCGGAGAAGGAAAAGCCCGCCTCGAGCCGCTGCTGCAGACTAAATACCATGGCATGGATATATTAAATACAGGGCAAAACGCCAGAAACAAGAAACGACAGAAAGTAATGAGCAAACTGGTGACCAGCTGCATCAGTTGGCGACCACTAGCTCCGTGTAATGTCCTCGCTCCGACTGAACAGGTGGCATGTTACACAGTAGTGCAGTAGTAGTTGTATTATAGTGATTGACTGCGGAACCTGTCCGCAGTCACCATTGATTTGTATTTCTTTATTCCTCATTTTTTTGACACGTTTCACAGCTTTCACATTTTCAACAATTTCCACAAGTTTAAACATCACGCACGTATCCACATGTTAGGGAATTAATTGCCTATAGACTATTGGGACCTTCAGCGATTTCCGGTTTTTCCGCAATCGGACAAAAATCTGCATTGCAGAATTCTTGTCAATGCCTTTTAATAGGCCCATGCATTTTAAAAAGGACTTCAGCTTCTTTCAGACATGTTCTAACAGTTTCAATGATTCAACAGTGTTTCAAGGATTCAACAGTTTCAAGGATTCACAGTTTCAAGATTTCAAGAGTTTCAAGACTTCAACAGTTTTCAAGACATCAGCAGTTTTTTCAAGGACTTCAGCAGTTATCAAGGACTTCAGCATTTCACTGGACTGTCAGTGTAATCATGCGAACCTAATGGGATTTTTCCATGTAAACCAGTATAATGCAACTTTAATAGGTGAATTATTTCCATGTAAACCAGTATAATGCCACTTAATAGGGGTTATTTACATGTTAAACCAGTATTAACTGTCGACTTAATAGGGTTTTTCCAAGTAAACCAGTATAATGCAACCTTAATAGGTTTTTTCCATGTAAACCAGTACAATGCAACTTAATAGGGATTTATTTCCATTTAAACCAGTATAATGCAACTTAATGGGATATTATCCATGTAAACCAGAATATAATGCAACTTAATAGGGTTTTTTCATGTAAACCAGTAAAATGCCACTTAATAGGGGTTTTTTCCATGTAAACCAGATAATGCAACTTATATAGGGGGTTTTATACATGTGAGAACAAGTATAATGCAACTTAATAGGGTTTTTTCCATGTAAACCATTATAATGCAACTTAATAGGATATGTAAAACCAGTACAATGCCAACTGTAATAGGGATTTTTTCCATGTAAACCAGTAATAATGCAACCTTAAAAGGTGATTTTTCCATGTAAACCAGTAAAATGCAACTTAATGGGATTTTTCCATGTAAACCAGTATGAATGCAACTTAATAGGGATCATTTTCCATGTAAACCAGTATAATGCAACTTAATAGGGATTTTTCCAGTAAACATAGTAGATGCAACTTAATGGGGATTTTTCCATGTAAACCAGTACAACTTAATAGGGTTTTTAACAACCAGTAATGTAACTTAATAGGGGTTTTATATTTAAAAATCAACTTAATAGGATTTTTACATGTAAACCAGTATAATGCAACTTAATAGGATTTTTTACCATGTAAACAGTATAATGCAACTTATAGGGGTTTTTTACATGTAAACCAATATAATGTGCAACTTAATAGGGATTTTTCCATGTAAACCAGTATAAAGCAACTTAATAGGGTGTTTTTACATGTAAACCAGTATAATGCAACGTAATAGGGGTTTTTATACAGTGGTAAACCAGTAATAAATTCCACTTAATAGGGTTTTTTAACATGTAACCCAGTATAATGCAACTTACTAGGGGTTTTTACATGTAAACCATTATGAATGGTAACTTAATAGTTGTTTTTACATGAAACCATTATAAAGGATAACAGTTTAAAGGATATCAGAGCTTCAAATACATTCAGGAGTTTCAAAGAAGGTTTAAAGTTATTTATAACAGGTATTATATCAAGCTTTCAAGGATTTTTTCAGCTAATTTCCACATTAGATCTGTTCCGGCAGTCCAATCGCAATTGCATCAGCCATTGCAACGGATTTTCTAGTTAATACATATTGTTGCCTGAGTACTGTAATGCGGGTTTTCACCAAGATAGCTATTTAAAAATCCCCAGCTTTGTATGAAAACGGCCGCATTTTGTGGCAATAACTGCGCA